GCGGACAGCTTCACAGCGCTGCACTCGGCCTGCTGTGCCACTGGGGAGGCCCCAGTTGAATATTCTAAATCCCCTACTCCTACATCCCCATAGGTTAGTGCATTATCTGAGTATTTATAACAGCATGTCCAAGTGTGAAATATGCTAGATTTCAAAGACTGAGTATTTAAAATAAAATGTCTCAATAATTTTATGTATTAATTACCTTTTAAAAGGGATAATGTTTTAGTTATAAATTAAAATGTATATATAAAGGAATAACATTTTACTTTATAATATGGTAACTAGGAAATTTTAAATTATGTCACTTGTATCACTTTTCTATAGGATAAAACTGCTTTAGAGGGTATCAAAAATATTTAAACCAAAATGTAGTAAGATCACTTAGCTTTTCAATGTATTTGTCAACCTATCATAATCTATTTCTCCCACCCATTTCACTAAAAATTGCTTTCTCAAAGGTTCTTTATGACTTGTTTCTTTGTTGTATTTAGTGGCCTCTTGTTAGTGCTCATTTTTCCTAATGTACTGATGAGTGCCTTTTTTCCTACAGTATTATACCTGGCTTCTTAGCCCAATCTCAGACCACTGTTTCTGATCTCCTTCATAACTCTTCTTGCTTACTCTCAGATGTAGTTAGTCACAATTCATCTTGATCCACTTCTCTTTTTGCCATGTACTTGTCCTCTCATTTACTTCCAGTTTTGGTCTTACCTATGTGCTATTGACTTCTAACACTTCATCCTCACCCTTATATTCTCTTGGGACTGAATTTCCAACTGTCTTTGGAGATCTGAGACTCTAACTTGAAATAATGCTCCTCTTTTACTGACCTGACTTTATCAGTCAGTGCCTGACAAAAGCATCTCATCATTCTTTTTCCTACATAGTTCTACAATGGGCTCTAGGTTTTGCCAATGTCAGAGTTCTTTTGACATTTTATCATTTCCTACTTCATCCTCCTGCCTTACTTTCTCAACTTTCATTTATTTTTTTTAGATTTATTTATGCATACAAGCGCTGGGGTACAGGCCAGAGATGCAGGGGGGTGAGAAGATTCACCAGAGACAGAGTGGGGAGCAGAACAGGCAGACTGACTGAAATACACTGCTGAGGGGAACAGTGAGCGAGTCAGGAGAGGTCTGTCTCGCCATGTGGCTGGGCCAGGGATCGAACTCGCGCTGCAGAGGCTGCATATTGCTTCATAGTGCGGTGCTTAACCCCTTGTGCCACCAGGGAGGCCCTGATTATGAACTCTTTGATGTCGGGACTTGTTCATATATATAGTAACATCACTCCTGACACAAGATAAGCACCATTTATTTTTTTTTAAATAGTCACATTTCTTTCTTTCATTCACTCAGGAAATGTTAAATGTGTGCCTATTGTTTGCTGGCAGTGATTCTGGTGATATAATAGTTACCAGTACTATGGCTCCTGTTCTCAAGGAGCTGTAGATTCTTCTCATTCTGTTTTTGAATCTAGACATTGATAAATCTAGAAACATTTGCATAATAGAAAAGGGGAGGATCGATGACTCGGTCTACATAAGACCTTTTTTTTTTTTAAAGATTTATTTATTTATACAAGAGCTGGGTACAGTCAGAAGTGCGGGAGGGTGAGAGAATTCACCAGAGCCAGAGTGGGGAACAGAACAGGCAGAGTGATGATGTACACTGCTGAGGGGAGCAGCAGGCGTGGTAGGAGAGGTCTGTCACGCCATGTGGGACCCTCGCTGGCAGCCGGGGATCGAACCAGCACTGCAGAGGCTGCAGGCAGCTTCTCAGCCCAGCGCTCAACCCTGCGCCACCAGGGGAGGCCCCAGACCCTTTTTAATTAGAGGGAACAGCTGTGTTTTAATTTCCTTATCATACTGCAGCCCTTCACGTTGTTAAAAAATTGTTATAATTGGCTCCACTGCAAAACTGGATCTTCTCACCAAGTTGAGTCTAGGCAAAGAACAGAAAAAAGGTATCCCGGGTGGTGGGAATACCATATATAAGAAAAGAACATGGCAACTATCAGAAACTGAAAATGCTCAGTGAGACTCCATTTCACTGAGCCAAGAGGAATAGGTAAATGATGAGTCTAGAGGGCTGGTCAGGAGCTTTACCTGTCAGATTTTGTATACTACATTAAGCATTTTGGGGGTTGTCTACATAAGAGCAATGGGAGACTGCTGTAGTGTGCAGGCAGGGGGATAACCGGTCATGTTCTTAACTGTACAAAAGACTCTCTGGTTGAAGTATGGGCAGAACAGGCCTGGAAAACCCATTAGAGGCTGTTTCAATGAAGCAAAAAAAAAAAATGATAGCTTGAATTAGTGTTCTATAGTTAGAGCACAGAAATGCTTAAATATAGTATTTAAGATGAAATGAAGGAGGAATTGGGGTAAGTGGAGTAACAAAGATGATTCTTAGTGTTTTCTCCTATTCTCATGGGTGAGAGCAGTGTTTACTGACATGCCTGTCATTTATATAAGGAGTGATCTGATTGGATGGGGAAATATGAATCTGACTTGGGCATGTTGAATCTGAGATGCCTTTGAGACATCAAAAGGGAGAGATAAGATGAGCAGTTGGTTGATGAGGTCTGGAGCCTTAAGAAGAGTTCTGGAACAGAGATAAAAATTTGTGACTCATAGAAGTGATAATTAAGTCTTGAGTTCAGATAGATCATAGAAGGTGAGAGTGTGGAAGTGAGAAAAAGAGCCTCAGGATCAGGCTCTGAAAAACTCAGTATTTAACCAACCAGGTAAGAAACAAGAACCAACTAATAAAAGCAGCATCCAGAAAGTTAAGAGGAAAAACAGGACAATGATTTGTTCTGAAACGCAAAAGAAAAGAATGTGTAAACAGCAAGGAGGAATGGCAACAATGTCAAGTCCTACTCAGATGGGGATCCAGAAGAAAGTAAGGAAAAGTACCATTGGCTTTTAGTGATATGTTGAGTGAATTGAGAAGGCAGAAGTCAGATGGAATGGTTGAATATGATTGGAAGGAAAGGATTTGTGAACATTCCTCATATACCTCTAGAGAACCATAGTGTCATAGAGGAGACAAAATTAGTTAATGAAACAATCATGGATGTATTTGCTAAGTATTAGATACTGTGAAGCAGCAGGTGACAGGCATTAAACCCTCCCTGGAAGGACAAGACAAGAGGTCAGAGAAGGCTTTGTAGAGACCCACCATGGTGGAGTGAATGATGAATATAAATTTGGCAGGCAGAGAAGGGAAGTAGGCTTTCTGACAAAGGCTCTATACCTGCAAAGGCTTGTGGAAGAGTGTCGTTCAGGTGTTCCAGCCTGTTTGGTTTGGAACACAGATTGCCTACAGAATGGTTACAGGAGATTAATCTGGAAAGGGAGGCAGGGGTTAGATCATAAAACACTGTTGTTGCTGTTGTGAGGTATGTATATTGTATTGGTACTGACATGTCTCAGTTTATCTTTTGACATAGTCTTAAAGGCAGAAGATGTGAGTGCATACCTTTTATGAAGCAAACAACTATTCTTTCAGTTCTCTTATTTAAAAATTTCAAATGGATTTTGCATTATCTATCCATTATCTCTGCTTGACTAATGATGTGAAAGTATCTTAGGTTATTTTCAGTTGGATAAAAATCACTCCAGGAATAAGCACCTTATCAAGTCTGTGCTTGGGTAGCTCTTGCCCATTGCTATATACACTCATCCCACCCTCCCCTGTCTGACTGTTGTGATGACTACCTCCATACAACCATAGGGAGACTATCACATTTTGGGGAGAGTATGGATTGAAGATGGGGAAAACTAGAGACTAGAGGGTAGCAGTATAGGTAGGAAACAATGAAAGCCCAAACTTTAAACAGTACGGGTATTGAGATTCAGGAAAAGACTTGGCATGATTGGTGATTTCACTAAATGTGGAAAATGGTGGGAAATGAAGGAGACAGAATACTTTATGCTGATTCCCCAGTGTTTGACTCGGGCATAGAGACTGGAAATGCAGAAGAGAGGAGTGATTTCAATGGGACTAAGGTAAAAGCCTCCACAAAACGCATATACTGAATTGAAGGCCTTGCCCAGTATGGGGAGTTGAAGGTACGGTACATTTCAGCTAGATGAAAAGACTGGTTTTAATTGGACCTGTGAGTCTGGAGAGGATTTAGGATGGAAGTCATTAGCATATAAGTGGTGGAAGCAACATTTCATTTTAACATTATATAATTTTCAGGTGTGCATAATTGAAGCTTTGATAGTAGATGATAGTGCTCAAAATTAAAATGTAGAGTTATGAGAGAAGAAGGCCAACCAGCAAGAGCGCTTAGGTAATGCCAATATTTAAAAGAAGGATAGAAGAAGTTATCTTGATAAAATGGTGAAGATCTAGAGGGAAGATAAGATCCAAGAAAGAGTATAAGGAGGTTGATAGTGCCACATTATGCATGCCTGCAAATAGTGCCTGAAAGACATCCACTGACTGTGGCAAATCTTTGATTATTAAAGATAATGTGACCTTAGTGAGAAAAGATTGAGTAGACAAGGCAAAATTCAGAGTCAGCTGGATTGAGAAGTGATAGCATGTACACATCAACATGCTTTCAAGAAACGGAGCTTTTTTTTTTTTTTAAGATTTATTTATTTATGCATACAAGAGCTGGGGGGTATAGGCCAGAGGTGAGGATTCACCAGAGACAGAGTGGGGAACAGAAACTGAGCTTTGAGGGAATAGAAGGGATGTGTGTTTTGTCTGGAAAGAGATAGAGTCATGGGGATATTTTTGTAAGTGACAGTTTTTAAGATAGGGAAAGGTATATATTTATGTGCCTGGGGGAACCCAGATAGGGAAAGAGATTATAACAGCCCTCCTGCCTTACTGTAAAAATACTTGTTTAATGACTTTATTGTTAAATTCCTCAGTCTTGATTTCACAGGTAAAATTTGTGTGTTTTCTGGGCTACCTGCTTTTTGATACTCAGTCATGGTTTTTATTAGTTTGAGGGGTATTCTTTTTTAGCCTCAGAATATTCTGCTGACAAGTGACTCTCCGCTGGGTGACGTCAAGATAGTTGATTTTGGTCTTTCAAGAATAATGAAGAACAATGAAGAACTCCGAGAAATTATGGGTACTCCTGAATATGTGGGTAAGTATTCATAACTATGGGGTGCTTTGTGTTGGGGATGGTCAAGCATCATCTTTGTTAGGGTTACCACATGAGATAATATTAATAGTGGAGTCCTAGGTTTTGCTATATTGAATTCTATCATCAGAGATCCTCCTTTGGTATTAAATTAAAAAATGTAAAACTCTGAAGAGATTTGATGGGAAATAAAGGAGAGAGAGTATCAAATTAGGGATCCCTTTCCAAAGGGTAAGAAAATTTGAAGGATTTCTTCTAAAAGAAATAAGCGAGGACTTTCTTAACAAAGGAAACTTTAAAGAACTTAAAGTTGGTAAAAAATAGCAAGCCCTGCAAATTCATTGATGTGTGAGGCAGAAAGGACATCCAAGGTTGAGAACTTCTTGGAGAAAGTAAAAGGAGCTTAAACCCTGAAGGTTCAGGCAAGAGAGCAGCTGGAGTAATGGTCACTTTAGGTTTGGTAGAAAAAGAAAGAAACTGACTTTTTGACAGACTGAAATGGGGAATAAGAGGATAAGTGGTTTGAATGAAGTCTAAAAAAATGTTTTGACCTGAGATTACAACATGCACATTTAAAATTTCCAAGAGGAAGTTTTTCCTTATAATTACAAGACCTGGAGATAGCAACTCTGCAGACCAGGAAGTTAAGAAGCTGGGGTGCTGGGCCACAAGGTAAGGGCAGCAGTGTCAGTTTTCAGGGTGATAGTAGTCCTTGGGGAGGAGGGGAATGGCTTCCATATCTGACTATATAACAGCAGCTTAAAAGGAGAATAGGCCATGACCTGAGCCTGAAAGAAAGAATATTTGCCTGATGGTAGAGGTGTGAAGTAAGTGGACTCTTTCCATCCTGGAGATCTGGGGCACAGGGAAAAGGGGAAAATGCCAGGAATCTTTCAGTGATTCCTGGGAATATATGTAACAAGAGAAACAAGATTCCAGAGCACACAGAAAGCCAGGTCAGATAGGGTTGAGGAAAACAGCTATTTGGCAGTGATATTACAAAAAATAATTCAGATTTTTAAAATAATTTTTAAAGTGCTATGGTTTGGAATAGATCCTTAACTAATTTGGTAATAAAAGATAGCACAGGCAGAAATACAACTGCCACAACTATACTTTTGTTTTTGTTTTTTTTGGTGGAGAATACTTCATTTTCAATATGGTGAATGATATGCATCATGACCACTAAGTAAGTTTTAGGAATGTAGCATCACAGTGCTGTTTCAGGGAAAGCAGCAGCCCAGGTGTTTTATGCAGTTTTAAATGGGCATGATACCCAACTAGAAGAAATGTAGACTACAGAGTGAAGGGCTGTGAGCTGAGATACCAAAAATAATTTTTGCCCTGAGATTTTTTTAAGTGATTTTCGTTCTTTAGTAAATTTTTTTTTTTTACCAAGAGCTTCTATTCCCTCCAAGAAACAGACTTTGTTATAAAGAGTATAAACTCAATCCAAAAAAGTTTTTAAGTATCTATTACAGAAAAAATAAGGTATTTTTCTTTGTTGCCCTAATCTGCCTTTTAATTGAGTTTATGTTCTAATCCCCCTCTCTCTCTGGTGTGTCATCTTACATAAATGCAGGAAACCACTTGTGGGTGCATTATTCTTCTCAGTACTTGCTAGCTATGTGATCTTGGTCCTAAAATTTCTTTACACTTCACATTCCCGTCCGTAAAACTGGGCTATAATAGTACTGCCTCAAGGAGAGGCAACTTTATGTTTGCTTTGTCAAGTTCTTATGTCAGTGCTCAACATTTAACACTCAAAAAAAGTTAGCTGTTGTTATGTCCTACCCTTCCTTTACTTTTTCCCCTGCATTAATTCTCAACTCAACATACTGGGGTGGAGGGGCATATGGAATTGTTGATTACACAGGGATTGTTTAAATGTTTTGTTTTTTCCTAGATTTAGATCATTTTCATTTTCCCTTAATTTTTATGAATTTGTCAATCGTTTACATAACAATATAGTTTGGGAGGCACAACTTCAACTGCCATATATGTAAATGCTTCACTCACTCTCCACCAAGGATCCAGTGCCAATGTCTTACCATTTTTCATTTTTTAATTTTAATTATCACAATTTTTTAATCCTCAATTGGATTTTTTTTAGTGGATTTAGTACATATTGCCTGTATTTTCATAACTATCCTTTTCCCTTTTTTTTAGTTGGCAATCTTGTTATCAGTATTTTTTTTTTCTTTTTAAGGAGAATTTCCATTAAGTTGCTCCTAAATCCTTGCATATTTTTAGAATGTCTTTTTTTCTTTTATGTGCGACAGTATTTTAGTGAAATCAGAGCATATAATTTTTTCTGAGCTCTGTAGATGTAACTTTGATGCCTGTCAGTGGTGGATGCCCAGTTTTTTGCAGCCTTATTGATGATTTTTTTGTTAGCTGCAACACAGAGAATAGATCAGAGGAGTGAAGGCCTGTAGGTCAGAGAGGAAAGAGCCATTGACTAGGTGGGGGTGAATAGAAAGAGTCACGGAGGGTATTAAGAAAGATTTAGAACCAGTAATCTGTCAGATATGATTGCTTAATTAGAAAGTATGGGAAGAGAAAGATATCAACAATTGTTAGTTTTATATTGCAGTATATATGTTTTCAAATACTTTTCAAATGCTAGGACTCAACCATCAAGGATGAAGTCACAATCACAAATACCTAGTTAGACTTCATAGTAATTAATTTTATTTAAAATGTTTAATTATTTCATTCTAGCCCAGTCTTGCTATTATAGTACCTAATAGTTTCTGATATATTTAAAATATTAGGGGTGTTTTTCACAAAACAATGTTTTCTTCTGTTTGTGATACTAGCTCCTGAAATTCTTAGTTATGATCCTATCAGCATGGCAACAGATATGTGGTAAGAATTATTTATGAAAAAATTGATCATTTGTTTCAAGAAATGAATCTGCTACTAATTTTGCTTACATTTTCATTTTGATTTAGGAGCATTGGAGTGTTAACATATGTCATGCTGACAGGAATATCGCCTTTCTTAGGCAATAATAAACAAGAAACCTTCTTAAACATCTCACAGATGAATTTAAGTTACTCTGAGGAAGAATTTGATGTTGTGTCTGAGTCAGCTATTGACTTCATCAAGAGACTTTTAGTTCAGAAACCTGAGTAAGTATTAGGTAAATTTTATCCTTGTTAATCTTTGATCTGTGTGGAATAAAAGCAGTTTAACCAAAATGAAGACATTAAACTAGATGAAACCTTTGGTTTCTTGTATCAGTTGAAAGAAAATCTGAACTGCAACTCGGGTTAACGGATATTTGGATACCTTAATATTTTCAACATTGTGGGGAATGGCATTTTAGCACAAATGCTGAAACTTCTAGTTTTTCTCAGGAATCAAAATAAGATTTTAGCCAATTCTTTATATTTTCCAAAATTCATACCGAAGTTAAAATGCCTTATCTTCTAACTTACAATTGAAATTTTAATTTGACTTGACTTAAGTCTAAAAGGTGTACTTTGTTATGTAGAGATCGAGCCACAGCTGAAGAATGTCTAAAACATCCATGGTTGACACAGAGCAATATTCAAGATCCTTCTTTCAAGGTGAAAGTGGCATTAGAAGAAACAAATGCCCTCCAAGAAGGTGATTCAGTGTCTAAAACTAATTCAGATACCCGGAAAACAGAAACCGAGGAATCAATTGTAACAGAGGAGTTAATTGTTGTTACTTCATATACTTTAGGACAGTGCAGACAATCTGAAAAGGAGAAAATGGAGCAAAAGGCCATTTCCAAACGATTTAAATTTGAGGAACCTTTGCTACAAGAAATTCCAGGAGAATTTATCTACTGAATAGTAACTCCCTTTGGAACTTTCAGATATCTACATTAAAAACATTATTTATGAACTTCTAGTCAAATGGTACATGTACTGAAAGTGGTTAACTAAGTATCACTTATATAAGCTAAAATAACCTTGTCTAACTTGTGGTCAGTCAAGTCAGATTATAAAATTGCTAGCCAGGAAGTTTAACAGCTGTAAAGGCTTCTGTTTCATGTTATTGTTAAGAAAGGAGATGTTTGCACCTTTTTTCCCTACATCCTTATTCTCCAGAATGAGAATTTGTATGCAAATTAAAAATTGAAGTGAAAGTGCCAAACTTACTTTTTTGTTCATCTGTTTTGCATCTTTGGTATTTGTATCTATATCCGCATATATACGTTGGCATCTTAATTAAAATAGATGTTTTTACTTTGGACTTTCTGGGAGAGTAGAATTTTAATTTACATAGATATCTTCCAAATTTTTGAGACTTAGAATAATGTCCACTATAGTTTAATAATGTATTATTTTTATATTACTGCTTTATATTGAATTGGTTTGCCTTCTGTTGTCTCTGTCCAATGCTTATAACCTATCAGTGAAAAACCCTGGCTAATTTTTTGGTTCTTTGGCATCACTAATAAGAGTAATGGTGGTTTCTCACCTCTGAAATTATTCTGATTTTCAAAGTTAAGGTTAAGTAATCTCATATTAAACCAGTGACAGTTCCTCAGGCTATTCCCTCATCACACCTCACTGGTCTTACTCTTTCACATGCCTACCACTTAATTTTAGTCATTTACTAGTGTCATTGTGACCTGATCAACATGATCATTTTGGTCAGTGAAAAGACGCTATTGTATTTGTTAATAAAATACTCCGGAGCAAGGAAGAGTTGTGAAGTGTATTCATGGTGGGACCGAGCCTCTACCTCTGTTGAATTTCTTACTAGCCCTCCTGCAATGCTATAAAAAGTTATAAAACATGAAAGTACTTTAAATCTTTACTTTGTTCATAAAAATTTTGACATTTATATTCTGTCATTAGGGAAGTACCCTTGCCCCAAAAAAGATTTAAGACTATTCTCAGGGGCCTCCCTGGTAGTGCAAGGGGTTATGCACAACACTGTGATGCTTGTGAAGCTATCTGCAAGCTCTGCAGCACAAGTTTGGTCCCTGGCCACGGAGTTAACCCACATGGCACAGCAGACCTCTCCTTGTCTTGCCTGCTACTCCCCTCAGCAGTGTATTTCAGTCAGTCTGCCTGTTCTGTTCCCTGCTCTGTCTCTGGTGAATGCCCCCACCCCCCACCCCAGCACCTCTGGTCTGTACCTCAGTTCTTGCATGCATAAATAAATCTGTTTGGGATTGAAGACTTCAACTGTATTTAGATCCCACAGTGAACAGTAAATGCCTATTAAAAAAATGGAAAAGTGGGCCTCCCCTGGTGGCGCAGCGGTTGTGCGCTGGGCTGCGAGGCTGCCCGCAGTCTCTGCAGCACCCGTTCCTTCCCCGGCAGCCGGCGAGGGTCCCACCAAAAAAAAAAAAAAAAAAAAAAGTAAAAGTATATGCTGCATAACTTAAGGCAACTAAAGATCATGCAAAAAAAGTCTAAGAATCCTTGTTTGTATTTTTATTGGCTTATATACCTGGGATACATCTGTGTACTGTGCACATATGCTGTGCCCTTGCATGTGCTCTGCACTATGAAAACTCAGACTTGTCCCATAGCTATCACATAACTCTCTGTTCTTAGAATGATTTCTCTAATAATGTTGTGTCAAAATCATGACAATGACAGCACATACCCACATGTTTTAAAGTGCACTGCACTATGCTAGACAGTCACACACACACACAGAGTCTGTAATGAAACCTAGTCCTGTTCTGTCATTCAAGACCCCTGATTACAGCATCAGATGAAATTGATTAGGTAGTTCAAACTCTCAAGCTGCACTGTTTTCATACTAATTTGACGTTATTTATACAGTTTCTTGGAAATTAACCTTTCTAAACAAATTCTAGAAAGAGGAAGAGGATATTTGCCACGATGGCACTATATCAATTCCACAGTAGAAATAACCTTAATGATTACAGGCTTTGTACTCTACCAGCATGTTTAAGGTTAATTTTTTTGAAAGGCTTCTCTCCAGTGCGTGTTAATAATGTAGGAAAGAGCTCACAAATGTCCTTTACTATAAAGAATACTGGAAGGGTTAAATTGACCTTTGCAAAGCAAAGATACCAGATTTCCAGTGTTCGTTGTTCACAGGAAAGGAGGATCATTGGTTTCATAAAGCTGTTTCCTTATAAGACTGATAAAACCTAAAGATGTGATTCTCTAATTAGTGGTTAAGATGTTTGGAAAGCAGAAAGATCATGACCTATTAGCTTTAAACTAACTTTCCTGTGTCAGTTTTACATGTTTATGGACACATAATTTCTTCAGTCTTCCAAAATGTTTTTATTAAAGAAATTACCTTGCAGAGAATTGGGCAGACAATTGGTGAAGAAAACAGATGTGAAAATAAAAACATGAAAAATGATTGAAAATACTTGAGCTATTTAACATGAATTCAGGGTAGAGTGAACAAAAGTGCCTATTCTTTCTCAGCGTTCTCATTAACAATTAATGACCTTCAGTGCTAATAAGTATAGTGGCAGGAAGACACAGGACAGTGTGTAGGATCTCTATGATCTGAGCAGACGGGTGAAGTACGAGTCCTGGAGCCCTCAGTGGCTTTTTCATGCTCTTATTGAGTTGGCCAGGTACATGGCAGAGGTATGGAGTGGACGGGGAGCGAGTTTTCACTCTTCCTGGGCTCTCTGGCATTCTCTCATGGCCTCTTCTGGTGGTCTGTTTTCACACCACCACCCTTAGAAGCCCCATCTCAGCCCAGGTGAACCCACCTACGTATGCCCACACCTTACTCCAGATGCCCACCATCAGACATGCATTCAGGACCACAGGGATCCATCATCAATCCTAACAGCGGGAGGGCGGAAAAGCCTGATACTTTACTTACCCTACAGTAAGTCTCCTTAAACATGGAGATGATCATATGATTCATTGCCATTTAGATTTATTATTAAAAATAATTTAAGAAAAAAGTTTAGCATAATTTATTAGGAAGTACAAAGACATCTGCATGATGCTTATGGTTCAAACTTGATTTAACATTTTACAATTATAAAGGAAAAGAAAAAAAATGGAGATGAAAACTAAGTGGAAACAGGAAAAGAAAAGAGACATAGGAGCCATCAAAATTCAACAAACATTAATGCTGATTCCTTTTATTCTGTGCTTTGACTTTACACAGAGAACTTTAAATAAATTCTTTTAAAGTTGAAAAATTTCTGATTAAATTTGACAGCCTACAAATAGCTATGATCAAATTCGAACTATAACAAAGTTACCTCAGGCCAGCATATGCAATCATCCCCCTCAGTGGCTAGAAAATTGGTCCATGAGGGTTATAGTGGTTGTGTAGGAAGGCCATATTTGGAGAAAGTTGGATCATTTTGATCACCTCCACTACTTTTTCACTTCATCAACATTCTCTCCACTGAGTTTGAACACGGGAATCTGCTGACCATCCTTGAGCTGTAAGACAACCTCCTTAAGGTGCCACCTGATGGAAACCAAAAGCATTGTCTTTTAATTAGTGGAACACTGAGAAAAAGACATGGTCAGAAAGGAAAAACAAAACAATTGTTTGTCTTAACACCTAATTATGAGCTCTCGGTATATAACCACTATCACCATGAAGGCAAGTTTAACAATGAATGACTGATGGGCAAAAGGAAGGGACATCTGGAAAAAGGAGGAACAGCTTATTCCCATTTCCAAATTCACTGGAATGCTCAAGTATTTGCTGGACTACTGCCAGCTCCTTCACTAACCCTAGGCTCAGTGGTCAATGAGCTCATTAGGGTGTCGGGGTTTGAGGTGGACGGTGGTGTAGGACTCAGACTGGAGAACTGGGCGGCCTGAGGGCAGCCTGTGTCTTGTGTCCTAGTGAATTAAAACACATCCTGACTAAATAGCAAACATTTCTGGAAGGCTTCCTGTGGGGAAAAAGAGTGAATGTAGCTACTGGCAACCAGACAAGAAAAGCCCATTGATGGGCTAATATAGAACAGGAACTGGACTTTAATTCATTTGTAAGGTAGGAGGCAGTAAACTTAAAAGTTGTAATATAGCATCAAATTATCATTGACCTTGACCACTTTTAACTGAGAAGTTTTTCAAATTAAGAACAATTCAGTAAAACAAAACAATTCAGTAGATCTGTATTGGATAAAATGTCTGATTTGAATTAAGAGTTAAAGACTGTCTTGCTGCCAAGACCATAAAACTTTAAAGCTTCAAGATTTGAGAAAATAATAATTATGACCACTATCACGTAACTACAAATAATGGGAATTAGGATTGTTTCTGTCTGAAGGTTCTCCTGTCCCTCCATTCCCACCCATTTACGTATAATACCTTTTAAAGGGAGCATCTCGGGATGATGTGACATAGAGATGGCCCTCTGACTTGGATCCAGAGACAGGAATCTTCAACTGAAGGTGTAAAATGAGAGATTAGGGCCTTCCTGGTGGCGCAGGGGGTTAAGCACTGCACTATGAAGCAATCCGCAGCCTGTGAGGCAAGAGTTTGATCCCCGGCTGGCCAGGGAGCAACCCACAGATGAAGCAGACCTCTCCTGTTCGCCCACTGCTCCCCTCAGCAGTATATTTCAGTCAGTCTGTTACCCACTCTGTCTCTGGTGAATTCTCTTACCCCCTGCATCTCAGGCCTGTACCCCAGCTCTTGTATGCATAAATAAATCAATCTAAAAAAAATAAATAAAATTTAAAAAATAAATAAAATGAGAGATTAATAACATGTATTATTGTCCTCTCAGGAGAGGACAAAATGTTTTCAAAAGCTAACCCTATAAAATTCAGTGATTACCACAGACTCTGGTTGTTTTCTAACTCAAACCCAGCTTGAAAAGTTACCTGATTTTCCATCTGGCTCTCTCCAAATATCCTACCCTTTTTTGTATGATTTGGTGAGGTCAACACAGCCCTCATATTTGGCAAGGAGACCTCATGTGCCAAACTCAATGCTCTGTGTATATGCAATGACTATTCAAAAATCCACTGCTAAAAAATAACAAACTACTGACATTTGTAACAAATGAATATCAAAAACATGCTGAGTCAGAGTCACTTCCTAGTATTAAGTGCATGGTTCCATGATATAGATTAGGCTAAGGTATACAGGAGAAAAGTATCAAAAATGTGATTGCTTCCAGTGGGGCTGAGGAATGTGAGATGGGACAAAAGGGTAAGAACATGGGGGATCTCTGGAAACAGTCTATTTTTAGAGATAGGTTACACAGGTGTATGCGTTTGATAAATTCATCAAATAGTACATGTTGATTTGTGCCTTTCATGGAATGTAAATGTTCCCTTGGGGGGAAGAAAAAAAGCAAATATCAAATGCTCTGATGTAAATGATTAGGAAACAGAGTAAATAGTTTAACTGCTTTCAGACCCTAAGAACATAAAGGAGAGGAAAAAAAAATAAACTTTATTGCTGAGACTCAGTTTTATAAGCACAGCAAATCCCACAGGCTTATTGAATAATCTTGAGTTGAGAGTCAAGACCGATTGGGCTGGGGAAATACAAATGGAGGGCAGCTATCCAGGGCAAGGTGTTCATTAACAGAAATATAAAATTCCAGTTATCTGAAGAAAAGCTTCTTCAGACTCATCACGGATGAACTGTTCTTAACAACTTTAGCAAAGTTCACATTTCTTTGTCCCTAACCCACTACTTAGCCTTGATTTCTAAAACCTATGAAACCAGCTTCTGTTGCTTAAACAGTAAGATAGATTTCAGTTTGTCTTTTACATCCTTTCCAAACAATTTGCAGTAAAGCTGATTTCTCAAAAACCTGTGTCATTATCTGTTCTATGCATATTAAGTAGCAAACACTATTGCTCAGATTAAAGGTGAATTGTATAGGAGGGACTGGTGGCGCAAGGGGTTAAGCATGTCTTTATAACAAGGACATCAGCCATCCCACCAGCTATAGTCAACAGATCACCAACTTGCAGTTAGGAGATGACAGAGGTCTCACCAACTGCTCCTATTGTGCTTACAGCATGAACCACCAGCCTGCTGCTCACCAAGATGGATGCTCAGAAAGGGTCCACCTACTGTACTTACCTACAAGTAAACACCCATTTAGTGGGAGAAAGAGACCCAGGCCCAATAGAAGCTCTACCAATAGCAGAGCAAAGCCAAAAGCAAAGGAGAGAAAAGGGGCCTCCCTGGTGGCGCAGCGGGTTGAGTGCAGCGCTGTGAAGCTGTCTCAGCCTCTGCAGCATGGGTTTGATTCCCAGCTGGCCAGGGAAATACCCGCATGGCGTGGCAGACCTCTCGGGTCTCATCCTCTGCTCTGCCTGTTGTACTTCCCGCTCTGTCTGTGGTGAATCCTCTTACCCTCCTGTGCCTCTGGCCTGTACCTCAGCTCTTGTATAAATAAATCTTTAAAAAAAGGGGGGGGGGGAGAAGGAAAAATACAAAAGGTCAAGCAAGTCACTATGAGAACAATACACCACAGAAAGAAAATCAGTCTCCAGGACTTGGAAGAATTTTTCTTCCAATCAGTCTCTCACACTGACTTGGAAGAATTTTTCTTGTCATGTGAAGAATTCAAAAGTGCTATAATTAAGAAAGTCAATTTGAACAAGACAAAACTCAGAAAAACATGTCAGAGATGTATGTGAAGAAAATGAAAGAAAATAATTCTATGGGGAACATACAAATGAACAGAAGATTGAGTTTGAAACTGTATTTTAAAAAAATAAACTGCAAGATGTAAAAAGATCATTGGAGGAGGTAAAATATGGGAAAAACCAGGGAAATAGAAATTGATATGGAAGAACAAATAAGTAATCTCACAATGCGGATACAAAAAAAAAAGAGAGAAAGGGACACAAAGGAAAAGAATTGGGAAAAGCTTTGTGAATTATCTAACACCATGGGGCAAAGAAATATGACTCATGGGTATCATAGAAGGAGAAGAGAGATAAAAGGAAGCTGAAAAGCTAAACTAGGGAATAATTAAAACACCTCCAACCCTTAAAAAAGAAAGGCAAATAGACATACAGAAAGTTAAAAGGATGCCAGACTCCCTTAATGGAAGGAAATCTATAGCAAAGCACATAGTAGGATAAGAAAGAGATAATACACAACACAGATTAGGCTAACATCAGACTTCTCTGTAGAAACACAATGGGCAAGAGGAGAATGGAATGAAACATTAAAAAAAATCCAAAACAGAAAATGCCAGCCAATAATATATTCTGCAAAGCTCTCCTTCCTTTATGAGAGGAAAATAAGGACCTTCTTAAACAAATAAAATCTTCAGGAATTTGCTATTACTAAACCCCACTTCAAGAAAAGTTACAAAGTGCCTTAGGATCTAGACCAAGAGAATAATGAACACAAAGACTGATTAAGGAATTAAATAGATCCACAAAACAATAAGCAAAATGGCAGTAACAGACTCTAAACCTCAATGTACTAAACTCACCAATAAGAAGACACAAAGTAGCATGTTGGATTAGAATCCAGGAAGCACATCTAATTTCCAAAGAGAAAAACAGATTGAAAGTAAAGTGTTTCAAAAAAATTTTACAAACAAATGGCACCCAAAAGAAAGCAGGGAAATGCATACTTTTACCAGATAAAATAGACTCAGATAAAAAAGGTGACAAGACACATGGATGGACACTATATAACCACCTAAAGGGACAATACACAAAGGCATAACATACATCAATACATCCTCACCAAAAGAGGGGACACCAAACTCCATTATACAATTACTATCAAATCTGAAAACAGGTAACAGAAAATACATATGTGGTAGGAGACTTCAACAGCCCATTCTCACCAATAGACAGATCAAGACAGAAAATAAACTAGTACACAATAGCCATAAACAAAGATGTAGACTACACGGAGCTACCTGACATTTATAAAACAGCCCCTGAAACTGAAAACATCATTAAAATGTTCTCCTCACTCAAAGCAACATAGAGATTCAGTGCAATTCCTATCAATGTTTCAACTGAATTTTTCAAAGAAATAGAGCAAATATTTCTGAAATTTATATGGAACCATAAAATTCCATGAATAGCCACAGCAATCTTGACAGAAAAAAAGGGGAGAGCGGAGTAATCCACTCCCAGACTTTATGCTATAACACTATCGTAATCAAAGCAACATGGTACTGGAATAAAAACAGAGACCAAGGGAATAGAATTGTGAACTCAGAAACAAACTCACATTTATTTGGAACATTAAACCTACAACAAAGGAGCCAAAAGTACAAAATGAGAAAAGACAACTCTTCAACAAACAGTGCTGGGAAAACTGGCCAGCCACACACATAGAAATGAAACTAGTCATACCACACACCAAAACTAACAATGGATTAAAAATTTGTATGTAAGTACAGAAACCATAAAATACATGGAAGAAAACATAGGCAAAACACTCCACACTACTGACTTCGACTTCAGGGATGTCTTTGGGTATTAGACTCCAAAAGCAAGGAAAACAAAAGCAAAAATAAACAAATGGGACTGTATCAAACTAAAAAAAAGCTTCCGTATAGTGACAGAAGCTATCATTAAAAGGAAAAGACTTTTTTCAAATGGGAGAACACAACATCTGCATAACATACATCTGAGAAGGGACTAATATCCAGAATCTACAAAGAATTCATGCAAGAAAAAGAAAACAACCCTATCAAAAAATGGGCAGAAAATCTAAATAGCTACTTCTCCAAAGAGGACATACAAATGGCTAACAGGCACATGAAAAATGGCTCATCATCATGGAAATACAATTAAAAACTCCAGTAAGATGTCACCTCTTGTGAGAATGGCCTAAACAAAATAGAATACTACTTGGCTATAAAAAACAAAAAGGATTATGCTAAGTGAAATAAGTCAAAAAGAGAAAGAAATACTAGATGATTTCATTCATTTGTAATATAGAGAAGCCAAAAAATAGGAAGCGGACAAAACTAAACCAAAACAAACCCTACAATGAATGCAGAATTGAAGCCATTGGAGGGGAAGGGAGAGTTTAAAGGAGGAAGGTGCCCAATGGTGTATGGTAAATGACTAAGGGTACTTTGGTATTGGGTGTGTTGAGTTACATCAGGCGAGGTGTAAGCCTTTTTCCTTAAATCACATATAGTGTTGTATACCACTGGTCCCTACATAAAAATAAATAAACCATAAAATAATGCCAGGTGAAAAATTTTAATTGGCTATTTATGCATGGATTGCTTTGGTAGGGGGAAAAAAAACACCTTTAATACAATTCCTAATCTCATTTTCAAAATCTTTGGGTCTTCTGTCACTCACACAATCAAGTGCACACAATTCACCTGATGGTGTAGCCACCCTGTAGTTACCCCTCCCTACCTAAGTACACCCTCTCTGTTGTCTGGGTCACTGCTGAGGTCAGACTAGCAAGGAACACAGTCACATGCCTAATGAGCATGCTGCTCCTTAGTCTGGAATTCATTCTTTACAGCCACTCTTCTGGGCATCTACTACCACATCTGCATCATTGTCTTACTATGGAGATTTAAACTATTATATAAACTCCCTTCAAAGCCCTCTGTATTCTGTATTCCCCACACAGTTTGGAATTATTCCTCTAGCTTGGCATATACTCAAAACATATTTGTTAAATGGAAGAATGAATATATTTCTATATTCAGGTGAGTTTTATCAGCTGAAGTATTGAAAAGATAAGAGTTTAAAAAATTAACTGGAATTCAATGGAAGCAATGTAAATAAAAAGCATTAAAACTAAGGTTAAAGAGTTGTTAAGATTTAAATGAGCTGATGAGTTGTGTAGATATACTGGAAGTTCATTGCTGAAATGGTGACAAACTACCACTGGTCATTCTCTACAATCGTCAGTTCAATATGGTGATCCGAGGACAAACAGTGCATTCTTAGCCACATCAATTTCACAGAAAGGAATAAAAATACATGAAAATAAATGACTCCATAATGCTGTTCTAAAAAGTGCTAAGAATACTCAGAAGCACTTTTACCCAGGATTTAGAATTTCCACATCCCAAATCCTTATTCTAACTACCTCCACAACTCTTTCTGGATTATGGCAGCCCCTTTCTCTGCTTAGTAAGCCCCAAGCCTGCAGTTTGCAGGTACAGGATTTTACCTGGGCATCAGCAATGTCCACAAAGTTGTACTTGTCAGTGAGTTGGAGATAGTGTACATTGAGCGGAGTGCCCAGGGCTTCCAGTGCTGACGGGTGGCTATGCAGCTGCTCTAATGCCAACTGGTAATAGGAAGCCCTAGAAAAAGTTTCTAAGGGGGAAAGACAGTTGTTACAAATTTTTCTTTATTGAACTTGGTCAGGTAGACTCTCTGCAGAAAGTTAAATGATACAATTCATGTATAGCATGGGAACAGAAACAAATGTGAAATTGATAGATGGAGGAATAATTAGGGACCATCTACTTGAAATTTTTAATTTTATAGATTCCCAAATAAAAATATAGAAAGTATCTGTGGGGATATCACAGATGACATTTGGCAAAGTACTTGATTTATCTGTATCCCAATTTTTTTTTATTTCTTATTTCTTTACTGCATCCATTTCTTTATTTGTTCATTAACAGGATCTAATCAAATCTTTTCTAATGTTCCTTTTGATTCTAAAGCCCTATGATTTCATGACTTCAAAACTAGTGTGAGAAGCTATGACCCTTGACTCCTACACACTGCTCCTTCCACTAAAATGAAGGTATTGATAAATCATCATAAAAGACACTACAACATCATCAAAAACAAAAACTTCAGGTCAAGAAATAGGACATGAAAATGCTCACTTGTCAAGTTTAGAGAATTGAGTCAACATTTCATGTAAATAACATTTATTAACTGTTCTCAATCTCAGCTACCTTGGGTAGGTAAGACCACTGGGAGCCCCAGGAAGTACATCTATGAAGGTATAGAGTGTGACACATAGAGGAATACAAATATAGGCTTCCCAAATTGGGCTTTGGTTAGGCTTAGGCAACAAGAAAGGACTTCCCTCCTGAAGGCCTGATCACAGTAATGGAAGGAAAAAGTCACTTGAGCCTGCAGAAGTCAGGATAGCACTGGTGCTGCTACCCAGGAACTGGGCTACAAGGTATGTTACAGGCTTGAACAAAGTACCAGTTATGACAGGAAAAAGAGGAGCAGATGCTGAGTCCAAAAGGCTAATCTTTATTGAGTGATTTCTGTGGCTAAACAATGTATTCACTATTTCACATCTTATAATACTCAGTCTCTCATATGTGTGAGACTGATTTAATCCTTAAAACAATCTAGGCATAGGCATTAATATCAGTCCTCATCACACAAATAAGGTAACTGAGATTAAGGAAGATCAAGGACTCACCCACCAGGTCACACAGTTCCTCAAGAACTGGAGTTGAGATTCAACCCAGGTGGCTACAGAGCCCAGGTCTCACCCTCCCAAAGCTAGATGTCTCTATTGTTGATGCCAGGCCTTAAAAGGGGTGAAAACTGTCAGACCCTTGACCCAGAAAATATACCCAGTCCTGCCCATACTTTGAGCAGAAAAGGAAATAAAGCTGAGGTACTTCAGTCTCAATTATTTCTGGGAATGCTCCTCTTGGGCCACCTCTAGATTCAGGGATCTTCAGGCCAACTCTGGAGGATGTGGGGAAGAATAGCTAGTGAGGACACTGTGCTCTGTTTGCCTCTGTGCTGAGAATTCCAATGTCCCCAGGAAATGAAAATACAGCAGTGTCAGGGTAAGGAGCCAAGCTGGGCTGGCATAAAGGGGCTTCAAAGAAAGTCAATCTAGTCAATTAGATCAACAGATAAATAAACAAACTGCTGCTGCAATCAATGTCTTGGTAGCTTATAACAGAGTATAAGCTAGCTTTACAAATTCAAATTTGTGTTCTGTAGGGATGTAAACAGCAGCTGACTGAATTATGCATCTTGTACTCTTTTCATTTTCTGCTCTTGCCAGAGAATCTTGCTTAACGTCACCTCCTTCATTAAATTAACAGCAGAAAATGGCAAGACGAACAAGCCGAGGACACTTGAGAAATGACCAGTTTTCTGCACCTATGAACCATGATAGCCCCTTTTCTCTGTTCTTCATATAATCATAGAAAGCTTGACAAATCTCCAGTGTACGTATACTGGACTAAAAGTCCACCTTCTTTTTTCCCAAGGCTTCTCATGTAAATGAATCCTGTTCCTTGTGGCTCTTGGAAAAACGGATTACATAACGAGGAGGAAGTTATAGTCAACAAAAATGTGTACTGTCTTCTAAAAATAGCTGTCTCTTCCTTTATTTAATCTGACAAAATCATCTAACGTATTTCCTTTGATGAAGGAATGTGAGAACAAGGACAGAGAGGCCATGCCTCCAAAGGTTCATTGGCATTACTTACTTTGTATGAGGTAATACACAAGGGTACAGCCCCCAGCAGTCATTACACCAGTCAAAAAGAAGAGTTTTCTCAGAGACACTGGCATCCTGCTTCCTAGAGACTTAAAAACAAAAGATGAAATTTACTGTTAGACTCAGGTTTGTGCCAAGGGCCTTTGCCTGGGACTGAGCCCCAAAAGGTAAGAAAAGCTAAGGAGAAGGTCAGTAAGGAGGTCACTTTTCATCCTTTGCTCTTTCAGAATGTCAGGGTTGGTTTAGAACCAAAGTAAAATTGATCTCCCTCGGGTGGCCCATATCCAGGACCCAGGCCATAGGGGTGATGCCTGAACACAAAGCAAGCATTCAGCCCTCCTCTCCTGATGAAAAGAAACCAGCCTGTGTGCCAAGTCCAGCAAGGTCAGAAAACACAACCATTTTGTCTCAGGTCAGCTGGTAAACAGGAAGCTTAGCCTTTTGTGGCAATTGCTGGTCTTGCAAGGCTACAAATGGATTGGAGCAGTCACTAGTTGCTTTATTTCATATTTAAAAAATGTCTCACCTCCTGGATAAGGAAAATCTGGTCATGACTTTCAGGCTGAAGGATTGGCTAGAGAGGAACCAGCTCAGCAAACCCAGCAAACCATACTCACCCTTCCTGCACCACCTGTCCCAGGAAGGCCCAGGTCGGGCAAAGGCCTTGACGGAGCCAATTATCCTCCTTTCTGGTGACCTTTTAACCAACTACTCACAACACTCAGTCTGGACCTTTCTGGAAAGCTGCCAGGTACTGAGCCATGAAACAGAGTAGGACACTGGCTTAGATCAGGGGTCACAATTCAAATGCCCAAAGGCCAGACCAGTCTCATAAATAACAGCACAGGCTGCAAAGTGAGGAATACACAGTCCAGCCAAGAGGTAGCTTCAACATAGCTCCAGCTAAATAGTGTTATATAGGCCAACTCTGGGTGGATCTCCTAATTTAAGAGGTCTTTATGTAAATTGTCCTAATTTTAAATGTTAACAACCAAATTAAAAAAGAAAAAAAATCTAACAAAACACAAAATTTGCATCAGATACTTTTCTATGAGCTTCCAGTTTACTTTTTGTTATCAAGAGATCTTCTCCCTCGGTGATTTTCAGGTAAATTTGCTCATCTCTCCAAAAAGAAATGATTTGGGGCAAAGAAGGAAATTTCTGGCTTAGATAAAGGAAAAGATGACCCTAGAGTTTATGTTCTAGTTTGAAAATTTAACCTTAGACTGTATGTGCTTCTTCAGAAAACATAGCCTTTGATGTGAATGAAAATGATCTAAGGCACTGCAGTTCGGAAGAACTAGATATAATGCTAGTTCCTCCACAGGCTGAACCCATGAGTCAAGGTAAACACATTCTCACCATCTGTACCTCTGCCAGCTATGATATGGCAAGTAATAACAACTGTCTATCATTCTGAAACCTGAAAGTAAATGAATACATTAACATGTCTGTGGGTGAAAGTTCCTCCTGTGGATATTCTTTCTGGAAACTGATAATTGGTTAGGGCTAATGTGAACCAATTCTAAACTGAGATAACATCAAATTAGGAAGGGTGAAGTCTGATGATTGCTTATATATTGTTTTGTTCAAATAGAAAAATTAGGCTGAAATCCCAATTGTACTGTCACTACTGCTTTAAGAATGTTTATCAAAGGTCACTGTAAAGTCAGTTACAGGAATGTGAACTGGGAAAAACCATTTTGTTTCATAATGAAAGTGGGTGAGAGCATCTCCAAAGAATGCATTAATCAGATCTTGCTTAACATGCAGGTGAGCTCAACAGGGTGGGGCAGAGAGCATGACTGATGTGGTGTTTCCCACAGGTTGTAGAGAATGGCTATCTGATCCCTCAAGTGAAGTTACAAACACAAGTGAACACTAAACAGAAGACACCTGGGAATCTATTGGGTTCTAATGGGTAATGTGACCTGGGAACATTCATTACCTTTTGCCACTTCATAGTCCAGTTTTGTTGAAAAATCAAAAGAAAGTGGTCCTGCAATTAAAGATTTTACATTAAAATTATTTTTTCAGTCAGTCTGGTTTCTTGTTTCATAAATTCAAGATGTATAGTTTAATTACCACCACCCGAATAAAAGGCAAAGAAGTTAGCATTTTAAAAATTAAGCATAACCCCCATTAGTACAACTTTGTCATCCAGATTTAGTTTTCTAGTCTTATAGTAACTGAATGCTTCTACAGGAAACACTGTGAGTAATCTTTTATTCTTAACCAAGGCTAATCATGAGGTAAGCATTTTGGAGGGAGAAAAAGAGAGATTTTGATAAGAAGGAAAAGGAAGAAACTCAGGTAAGAAGACATATCCCAGAAACTTGAAAATGCAACAGTTGAAAGTCATTAGCACAGGAGATAAAGAGCAGGATCAACAAAGCAAAAAAAAGCTGAATTCAGAAAGAGTAAATCAGGGAATTGCAAATTAAAACAAGATACCGTTATAAAACCATTAGAACCATTAAAACCCAAAACACTGACAATACCAAATGCTGGATGTGGAGCAACCATTGCTGGGGGAAAATTAAAATGAGATATCCACTACTAACCAACCAGCTGACCAACTGACCGGCCCATCTACCTCCCTACCTACTCACCTGGATGAATGGATGAACAAACAGACAAATAAATGTGACATGCTAGAATATGAAAGGGAAAAAGATCAACTTAGCTGTGGGGCTAAGGAAGGCCTCTATCAAGTTGATATTTGACTTGACACCGAAGGAGCAATTTGAAAACGAGAGAGAGGGCAAGTAAAGCAGGCACAGACACTGAGGCAGGCATCAGCTAGGTACATTCAGGAAGCAGAAAACTAGTGTCGTAAATGAAGGTGGGCAGGTGGCAGGGTACTAGTAATGCAGACCTTTTTGGGTGCGGTAGAGTTTGGATTTCATTCTAAATATAAGGAGAAGGTATCAGATGCTTCGATCAGAAAATGGCAGAGTGGCCTACTTTTTTTTTTTTTTTTTTTAGATTTCATTAGAAAGGGCAAGAATGGAAGCAGGAAGTCTGGTTAAAAGGCTCCTGTACTGGTCCATTCCAAAGATGACAGCAGCCTGGAATAGCTGGTAGCAGTGAAAACAAAAAAAGTGAATAGAATGAGACATGAAGCAGAGTGAACAGGATTTACTGAATTGGCCATCAGAGGAAGGGTGAAGAACAAAATGGGTAGCAGAGTGATTGCACATAATTTATCATGATTATCCTTAAATCTCCTTACAAATATTTTGAACATTCAAAGCTAGCATTCATTTAGAATTTGGAAAAAGGGTTTTGGTGGAAAGCTTTAAGTAATACACTATGATCCTGTAAGGTCAGGACTGGACACGGTGCAGGTTCTCTGATCCCATGCAGACCGGGTAAAGGAGGAGTCAGAGTCCTCAGTAGTTTTGCAGGTTTTTTATTTGGGGTTCACCAGGCATATGGCAGGCAGGGGTGCTGGCTGGGGGGCTGGGAGGCTGGCAGGCCTCCCAGCCCCCAGCAAGTCTTCACTCTATTTGGGCTCTCTGGCGTTCTCTGCTTCTGCTTCGGCTTCTCCTTCAGGTTCTGCTGCTGCTGGCTGGGGCTGCTGGCGTCCCCCCGTGACGCCGCCCTTAAAAGCACAGTCTTAGCTCAGCTGAATCCCATCTACCTATGCCCACACCCTATTCCAGATGCCCACCATCAGGCATGCATTCAGGACAAGGATCCATCATCTATCCTGATGGCGGAAGGGCAGAAAAGCCTGATATTTTCTTTACCCTACAGTCCACCCCCTCAGGGTTTTCTGCCATACAGTCTATACATATATACACAATTTTCTAAGCAAACAAACAATGCAGCCATGGCCCACAAAAGCAAATACATCAAATAACAAAATACAACATAACAAAATACAACAGAACACAAATAAGTCCAGGCAGGGCACCAACCAAGTGCAAAAGACAATTATTGGTACCAGCAGATGAGCCACCAAATCTGCTGCCGAAGGCACTGCTCATACGAGGGAGGGGAAATCACACACGGTATCTGCTATAACACACCAGGAGCCGTCAGGCTTCCTGGCCTTCTCTGGCTGTAGTCTCGGCACAAGGCACACACAGCATCCACCCCCAGGATGCACTAGCTCTGGGATTGGCAATTTTATTCTGTTGGGGGTAATCGCCAACCCTCAGGGTTTCTGTCTGCAGTCGCTCCAACACTCGGCCTTCATGGCCACCCATGCGACTCACAGACCCCTGCTCTCAAGCCAACCCACTGCACAAGCACATGGGTTGGGGATCCAAACTTTGCATTTGGCTTGGGCTCCACCCCAAGCCACATTCCCCACCCGTCCCCCAAGGACGGGCTCCTCAGCTCCTCACCCTCACTCAAGAATGAGCAGGGCATCACCCATAGGTGATTTTACGAGACTCACAGGGCTTCAGCATACCCAGGCTGCTTAACAGCCGCTTTAGGGCTTCTCAACTTAGCATCAGTACCAGCTTTTGCCACCTTAGTTGGCTTTTCTCCTCCACCTGGCCACTGGGCATACACAGGCTGCTTTTGGCCATCTAGGCCCACTGGCCACCCCCAGATTCTCAAAAAATAAACATAACCTGCTAAGGTCCTCCGCCTTCTGGCGGGATTGTCAGTCCAAAATCATCAGTTAATCAGTCTATCAGTCCATTGGCCTCTCCCTGCTTCAGCAATGGCCTGCTGCCTCAGGGGTCATTGGCTGGTCCTTTCCGGTGTCGTTGGCTGGTCCTATCCGGTGTCGTTGGCTGGTCATTTCCGGTGTCGTTGGCTGGTCCTTTCGGGCGTCTCCTTCACGCCAGGTCTCATCCTGTAGCTCGTGGACGTATCCATCTTCTATACCGCCATGGTGCCTCCAGCGTCGTCACAGGCAAAGTCTGTTCTCCTTAGTCCCTCCAGGTCTTCGGAGGGCTCCAATACCCGTCTGCATGGATCTTGCCGACATACGCCAATTGTAAGGGCCGGAAGGGGCGCAGTGCAGGTTTTCTGATCCCATGCAGATCGGGTAAAGGAGCAGTCAGAGTCCTCAGTAGTTTTGCAGGTTTTTTATTTGGGGTTCACCAGGCATATGGCAGGCAGGGGTGCTGGCTGGGGGGCTGGGAGGCTGGCAGGCCTCCCAGCCCCCAGCAAGTCTTCACTCTATTTGGGCTCTCTGGCGTTCTCTGCTTCTGCTTCGGCTTCTCCTTCAGGTTCTGCTGCTGCTGGCTGGGGCTGCTGGCGTCCCCCCGTGACGCCGCCCTTAAAAGCACAGTCTTAGCTCAGCTGAATCCCATCTACCTATGCCCACACCCTATTCCAGATGCCCACCATCAGGCATGCATTCAGGACAAGGATCCATCATCTATCCTGATGGCGGAAGGGCAGAAAAGCCTGATATTTTCTTTACCCTACAGATCCTAAATCTGATTACTCATGATGTTTCATCTGTTTGAACAAAATATATTTTATTCTTTTGTAGATCTGAAAACAAAACAAGAAGATATTCTGTATTTCCTGGTGTCAAAAACTTCATATAATGGGCTCTGATTCATAACCATTTCTAAGAGAATATGAGTAAGGAAAACTATCAAAAATTTGCTTCAGTGTTTCTATTAAAAAGCCTTCATTTTAGAAAAAATCAGAAAAATAATTTGGTATCTGTGATTAAAATTGGAATACCTCAGAATATGACTGTATTTGAAGATGAGGTCTTTAAAGAGATAATTAAGGTTAAGTCCTAATCCATGTATGACTGGTATCCTTCCAAGAGGAAATTTGGACAAACAGGTCAAAAGAGGAAAGACCATGTGAAGGAAAAGAGGCAAGATAAGACATGTTACACATACATACATACATCGAACAGCAGGCCCAAAGTGAAAATGTCCTTCAGTGATGGAATAGACAACAACCATTGTATATTCAATCAATGACACATAATAGAGCAATGAAAATGAATAAATAAGGATAAACCCTAGCAAGTTTTGGGTAAGAGAAGTCTGGATTCCAAATATTGCACATTTTTTTCTCTTCTTCAAAGGTTTATTCTTTGTTTTTATTGTGGTAAAAACAACCTAATGTATGACATCACCAATGTAAGAGAAAAAGAGATCCCAGACATCCAACAAAGAACAAAAACAGGTATCCCTAACAAAAATAGTTCTGGAAGAGCTCAGTATAGTTGGCAGCAGCTTCTCTATGATCCCAGCAGACAGGGTGAAGGGGGAGTCCTGGAGCCCTCAGTGGCTTTTTGAGGCTTTTATTGAATTTACTAGGTACATGGCAGGCAGGGATGTCGGTGCCGGGGAGGCTGGGAGGCTGACAGGCCTCCCAGCCCCAAGCAAGTCTTTACTCTCTTTGGGCTTTCTTGCATTCTCTCGTGGCCTCTGCTTCTCCGCTGGTGCTGCTCTCTGGCTTGTTCTCTTTTTCTGGTTCTCTTTTGCTCTGCTGGCGTCCCCATGATGCCACCTTTATAAGCCCAGTCTACCCAGGTGTACCCACCTACATAGGCCCACACCCTACTCCAGATGCCCGCCATTAGGCATGCATTCAGGACAGCAGGGATCCATCATCAATCCCAATGGCGGGAGGGCAGAAAAGCCTGACAATGATTTACCCTACACTCAGGAATCCACTTTAGAAGTTTCAGTAACACAGTGACTAAGAAAGTCTGAAAATACACAAAGGTCAGAACAACTTTATTTTGCCTACATCATCACACCCCACAGGACAGCATAGTTTAGTGACAAGAGGGAACTTCCCCCATTCAAGAGAGGGCGCCTCTAACCAAGAAATGGAGAACAGGTGCCATCTGTGCCAGGAAGGCACAGATCAGATTTTCTATGATCCAGGCAGACGGGTAGAGTCCTGGAGCCCTTGATGAATTGCTCAGGCTTTTATTGAGCTTTCCACACCATTTATAGCACAGCACCCAGGTACAGGGCAGGCAGGGGGGCAGGGAGCCAAGAAGTTGGCAGCCTCACACCCCCAGCGAATCTTCACTTTCTGGGCTTT